TTTTAAGGGCTCTACAACAACATAATCTGGGCCTTAGTTCTATAGCTTGCTACCTCAGTATTTTTAAATAGCTGTATATACTCACACAGGCACATATGTTTTACATGTTTACATATTTGTATGTAGTATATATATTTATACCTTTTTAAAAATATAAATTTTTAAATCATGGCTATTAAGTCCTTAAGAATAATTAAATAGGTTATTTAATCATAAAAACCCAATAGGTTATTTTTATGGATCTTGCCGTTTAAAAGAACATGTATCTAAAAAATTCCCTATTGCTGCTTAACAAATTTCACAAATTTAGCAGTGCAAAACACCCATTTATTAGTTCATAGTTCTGTAAGCCACATGTCTGGGATGGTATGGCGTGGCTGGGTTTTCTGTTGAGGTTATCACAGGGCTGAAACTAGTTGCTGACTGCTCTGAGCTCTTGTCTGGAGGCTCTGGGGGAAAACTGCTTCCAGGGACATTCAAGTTGTTGGCAGATTCCAGTTCCTTGCTGTTGTAGGCCTGAGGCCCCTGTATTCTTGCTGCCTCTCAGCCAGGCAGGCATCTCTCTCAGAAGCTAGAAGCTGCTCACAGGTCCTTTCCATGTGGTCCCCTCCATCTTCAACCAGCAAAAGTACACTGAATCTCTCATGGGTTTCAGATCTCCCTCAGTGACTCTTCCAAAATTAGCCAGAGAAAGCACTCTGCTTTTAAAAGGCTCATGTGGGTATGTCAGGCCCACTCAGATAATCTCCCTATCTTTAAGTCAACTGATTAGTAGTAATCTTTTGTTTGTTGTTGTTAAAGATTTTATTTATTTATTTGACAGAGAGAGAGCACAAGTAGGCAGAGTGGCAGGCAGAGGGAGAGGGAGAAGCAGGCTCTCCAGCGAGCAGGGAGCCGGACGTGGGGCTCAATCCCAGGACCCCAGGATCCTGACCTGAGCTGAAGGCGACCGCTTAACCGACTGAGCCACCCAGGCGCCCCAACTGATTAGTAACCTTAATTACATCTACCAAATTCCTTTTGCCTGATAAATACATAATCATGGGGCCATCTTAGAATTCTGCCTGCTACACTTACCTTATGTAGACACCCACATCCACTGTTCTCAGGTTCAGTTTTTAGGTTGGGTGACATGACAAAGCATTTGGAGCATTAAATGTGAATTACCATGGTCAATTATATTTAGATGAAATTACTTTTATTGTGAATGTCATGCAAAGGATTTGTAGTACTGAAAAATACATTTACTTTCTAAATAAGTCTATGTGGTGCATTAGATAAAAGTACATTAAAAGCCATAAAGACCTATTATAAACACGCAGCATGTTACTTACAATTCTCTGATTCCATCAGATGACGATGAGTAGCTTTATCTCCTCCATGTCTGCCATTAATCATGAGCTTGGTCATACACTAATGACACAGACTCATAGACTTTATAGCTAAAAGACAGCAGAGAGCATCTGTCACCATCACCCCCAACCCCCCCAATTTCCTGCTTTTTTCATAAATGAGGAGCCAGAGACTCAGGATAGGACTCAGAGAGGGCCACAGAGTCAGCTGGTCAGTGGTAGAGATTGGCCTGGAATATGTTTTCTGATTCCCTACCTGGTAATAACAGTAATGACAGTGCCATTAATTAAAGATTTTCTATGTACAAGCCACATGTTTATGGCTTAATATATTATTTTTCTTATCCTCACAAAAATCCTGTGAGGTAGGCATTACTGTCTTTGCCATTTCACAGTTTGAGAAAACTGAGTCACAGAGGGGCTAAGTAACTGGTTCAGTGTCACCCAGCTTGCTTATGGTTAAGTGGGGATTCAAAGAGAAACAGTCTGACTCCAGGGCCAGAGCCCTTCCCTGTGCTCTGCTCTTTCCCCTGGCCTGCCGCTGCTCATGGGGCCTTCACGTGCAGTTACAGAGTTCGCCGCACGGCTGTATTCTGTATTCTGACACCAAGTCAGTGAATAGCGGAGAATTTGGAGTCGGGAAACTGTGTATAAACTTCAGTTGTGTCACTAACTGTGTAAGCTGCCAGGGCCCATGGACTCTGTGTCTGTAAAATGGGGATTGTTGGAGTTCTGAGGAGAATGTGGGTAGAAAGTGGTCTGTAAACACAAGTTTGACATGTCCGTTGTATTGTTATTCTTTGACAAATGGTAGCTGGTTCTCATCACCCTGTAATAATAGGTTTTCACATCACTCTTGCTGCGGTAGAGTCAGACGTGAAATGAGAAGGTTCTATGTCCTGACAACGTTAGGAATCTCATTTGCTTTGAAAGTCCTACATCTCCTGTATATATCCTCATTACACATTTTCCAGCTCCCTGTAGTGGCACAGCTCACTTGGAGGTGATTTTCCACCCGGGCATTCTTCATGGGAAGAGAACACTACAGCCGCATGGACAGGCCAGGACCTAGCCCTTGGCCGGGCTCCTGCACGACAGCCCGGCACCTTCCATGATTCTGGTGCACACCTGAACAGAACTGTATGACTTTCGGATGTGGCCATTGGAGATCACCATCAAATAATCATGAATATTCAATTTCTGTGTACCAGTGGTCTCTTCTTCATCCCCATTCTTTTTCTAAAAACATTTTTTCTTTTTTGGGTGTATGTGTATTTTCTGCTCTACTATTTGAAAGTAAGTTGCAGACAACATAACACTTCAGGTCTAAGTACTTCAGCATGTATCTCTAATGATAAGGAAATTTTTTATAGTACATGTCACTATCTACCTAAGAAAATTAACAATTTCTTATCCTAATATTCAGTCCATGTTCAAATTTTCCTTATTTGTCCTAAAATTGCTTTTAGAGTGTTTTGCTTTTAGGGTTTCTTGTTTTGTTTTTTTTTTTTCCAAAAAGAAAGCCAACTCATAGCATTTAATGGTTACATCTCTGTGATATTTTAAAATCTGGACCAATTCCCCTACCTTGTTAGTTTATTTGTTTGTTTTCATGATATTAACTTTTTAAAGAGACTAAGCCAATTCTCTTGAACAAAACCCCATGTTCTGGGTTTGTCTGATTTTTTTTTTTTTTAATTGTGTCATTTATCTTTTACTCTGTCCTCTGTGTTGTAGAAAACTAGAAGTTGGTTCCAAAGACCTAATTAGAAACAGTTTGTATATTTCTGTCTGGACTAACTTGATAGGTGGCACTGTTTATTTTCTATCAGGTGGTACCTATGGTTGTCCCACTGTTAGTGCTTCTAAGTTTGATCACTTGATTAAGATGGTGATTAGCTGCCTAGAAGGATCTCCAAGATACAGTGCTGAATAAAACAAAATTAAAAAAAATAAAACACACACACAAAGATGGTGATAGTTGGTCAGTCTCCCAGAGTTAAAGTCCATGTTTACCTTTAACAAGTAGTACTAAATTGTGGAATGATTTTTTTTTTTTTGGCTCATGTGAATATCCTTTCATCTAATGCCGTTAGCATCCATTGATGTGCCTTATCTGAATCATTTATTCCATTGAAGTTTGCAAATTAGTAATTTTAAATTTTTATCATTCCTTTTACACTTATTAAATGTATTAAATATATATTAAATATAACTAATATTTCTCTGTAAAGAAGGGCCTTCCGTCATCAATAAGAGATACTTTAGATTCTCTTATAGTTCATATCAGTACAACATGTTTACTATCAATTTTTTAAAATATCAGCCTTAGATTATGGATCTGAGCTGTAGATCAGTCATAACTTATATTTGATATAAACTTTTTAGAGCATTTTGATGTACATTGAGATTGGAAGTAGAGAATAGATGAAATTTAAAGCAGTGTTTCAAAATGGTAAGCAAATATTATAAGAGGTGTGGCAGGAGGAATTTCAAGAAGTCAAGGTCAACATCAGCAAATGTTTATTGATCTAAAATGAAATTATTAATACCAGGCATTAAAAGAGCTTACCATATCCCAAAAAGCTGATGGTATGCATGGTCAATGTAGATACATATTTAGGCCTGACAAGAAGTAAATTAAGAGAAATAGTTTGGACTGTCACCTGTTGCTCCAGCTTTTGCGGTCTCTCCGCTCCACATTCCGACACGCAAGGCCCTTTGTGTTCTGGGCCCAGGTTCTTGTCTGATACTCCCCCACCATTACTCTTCATCTGGTTATTTGCATCATCCCTCAACTGCACATGGTTTTTCCTGCCTTCATGCCTTTGTCCAGGCCCTTCCCTTGGCACAAAACACTTCCTTCTTTCCTCTTAGGTCCCATTGTGCCCATTTCTCAAGCCCAGCTAAAATCCCACTCCCCTCCTTCTGTCAAGCTCCTTCCTCCCTGACCTCTCCAAATCACTTGCATTTCTTACACTCTGTCACATCTGTGGTCTCTGACTCAGTTTCCTGTTTGGCCTTCTCATGATCCCAAATTAGAAAGCTCTTTTCACATGACATTGCTGGATTTTTGCATTCCCTTTAAGAGTCTCTCTGAAAGTTACCAACAGATGTGAAACTATATCAGACAGGTTATCTCCTTTGTATGGCTTTCTTTGCCTTCTAATATCGATCACCTTACAAAATCAGGTTTTTGTGTGAGAGTTAAGGCTAGAATTGACGTTTACTCATCACCTGTTCTTTGGAAATAAAGTCAAGGCCTAATCATTTCACTATGATCAAAAGAAAGGAAAAAGAAAAAGACAGGTATAAATTAACGTTGTATTTAAATATTACAATGAAACAAAGCTTATTTTGTTTTCCTTAGGTTGACCTTTTTGTTTCTTTTGTAACCAACTTGAACACTGCTTTAAATGGAAATAAAACAATGGTATTTTGTGCTTCTTGAAGATTTTTTAAAAATATTTTCATCCCACTCAACAAGACATTGTTTGAAATACCTTTTCTCTGTGTCTCCTTGATAAGAGCACTTTGTCTTTATGCAGTTCTTTCCTTCTGAGGACCTTCACCACACTGGCTGAGTATTCTTCGTTACCAGATGGTGATGATAAAAGCTATCATGCCTCTTGTTTTCTGTCTATGCAGAAGCAGGAGGTAAAAAGCTACGGAGCACTGTCCAGAGAAGCACCGAAACGGGCCTGGCTGTGGAAATGAGGAACTGGATGACTCGCCAGGCAAGCCGAGAATCTACTGATGGCAGCATGAACAGCTATAGCTCAGAAGGAAAGTGAGTGAGGCCAGCCATGATGTGGTGTCTCCTCTGCGCCTTGCCGCGACCATCTTCTCTCTCTTGTGCTTTCCCGGAAGCTAACTCACGCTCTTGAGAGCGCCATCTTCATTTCCACTGGCTGATTTGCTGTGAAGAGAACTTTTGCTCTCCTGCCACCAAGAAATGTGGCATATCTGGCTTTTTATATCAAGGGAAATAGCTTTGGGAATAAAGTGTTTTGCTTTAACAGCAAGACACTAAAATGTGACCGTCAAAATACATGCACATAAAAGTTTGCCCTGGCTGGAAATAATATATAGAAGCACAGAAAGAATAAGCACTCACGCCACACCGCGTGAACAATGCTAATTTCCATAATCTTTGCTCTTAAGAGTTACTACCAAAAGTTGTAGAATACTTGACTCATACTTCGTGCCAAGAAGTAACAGGCAGCTCAGATAGATGTAATGCCACAAAGTAAGTTGGTGAGCCTTTCCTTCATGTAGTTAGCATGTAGCTTTTTCTTGAATCAGCTGTAGCTAGGATATTTTTAAAGCATTTGTCAAGATTGTGTAGCCCTGTCACCAACAAACTGACAATAATCAGCAGCCACAGAGCCATAAATGGATGCATAAAGGAGGTTAATAGAGGAAAGTGGGGTTTACTGACCTCACTCTGTCATCAGCATGGAAGCATCAGATGTTTAGACAACATACATATAGCCAGACGTGAGGCAGAGTATTGATTATGTGCCACAGGGAACATTTGTCTAGCACGAGTATATAAATACAGAAGATATGCATGGTTTCCATACATTTATCAATAAGGTCATATGGGATACTAATTAAAATACTTGGATTAACTATATATTTGGGGATTTAAGTTGGGGGAAGAAACAGATTTGATGTTAATCAAGGAAGTCTTAAAAGAGATGGAAGCAATTGAAAAATGAATGTGCACTGAGCTTTCAGCATTGCAGAGTGCTATGTTAGATACTGTTAGGGATACAAAAATGTCCCAACTGTGCCCCCGGCACCCCAGATGTTTATATTTTATGGGAAAAATGGGTTGAATACTTGTAAATTCATTCAACAAATATTTCCACACCTTCCAGTGTTCTAGGCACTGTGCTGAGTTGGGGATATAAGTTGTACAAGGGGACCAAAATCAGTTAGTGGTTAAGACCATGGGCTTTAAAATCACATAGACTTAAGTTCTCATCTGTTTTTCAGTACTGTAGAAACTTGGGCAAATTATTTAACTTTTCTCGGTGTCATTTTAATTAACTGATTTTGCTTACCAAGTATTTATTAAGTGCTTACAGTATTCCAGGCACGGTTCTAGGGGCTGGAGATATATCAGTGAACAAAATAGAAACAAAAAAACAAAAAACCCTACCCTCACCAAACTTACAGTCTAATAGATAAGATGGACAATAAATAAGAAAAGTTGATAATAGGGGCGCCTGGGTGGCTCAGTTGGTTAAGCGACTGCCTTCGGCTCAGGTCATGATCCTGGAGTCCCAGGATCAAGTCCTGCATCAGGCTCCCTGCTCAGCGAGGAGCCTGCTTGCTTCTCCCTCTGGCCCTTCCCCCTCTCATGTGCTCTCTCTCTCTCTCTCTCTCTCTCATTCTCACTCTCTCAAAATAAATAATAAAAAAAGAAAAGTTGATAATATGTATATATAAGGAAAATTCATAAAATAGTAGATTAGGTTGCATAAGTGCTAAAGAGAAAAAGAAAGAAAGGGAGAGAGATGAGAGAGGGTAAATGTGGGTTCCATATAGGGGTAGACAGGGAAAAAGATGTATTTGGGTAAAGATTTTAAGAATGTGGACATTCGAGGGAAGAACATTCCAACCTGAAGCTGTGCTGAGACCTGGAGGCAGCAGTTTGCCTGGCATCAGCCCTGGGGAGGGCAGCACTGTGCACGAAGGGCAGGAGTAGGGATTAAGATGGGGGTGGGGTGGACAGCTCGTATCATCTTTATAATAGCATTGTGAGGACTTTGCTTTTCCTCTGAGAGGGGCGAGAAACCGATGGAGGGTTTGAGCACAGTCCTGATATTACCTGACTTGAATTTTAACAGACCATTCTGAGTGCTGTGGGGGTGGAAAGTAAATTTGGCCACCGAGGGATCATTCAGAGGGCTGTTCAGTAATACCACAGATAGAAGATAAAGGCTGGGACCACAGTGGTAGCATTAGCCAGGTCAGATTCTAGATGCATTTGACAGTAGAGCTGATAAGATTTCTTGATACATCTGATGTGAGTAATGAGAGAAAGGGGGTGTATTCGTTTGCTGGGGCTGCCCTAACAAAATACCGAAGATTGGGTAGCTTAAACAACAGAAATTTATTTTCTCATAGTTCTGGAGGCTAGAAGTCCAAAATCAAGGTGGACAGGTTTGGTTTGGTTTCTCCTGAGGCCTCTCTCCTTGGCTTGCAGATGGCCTCCTCCTCAGTGTGTGCTCACATCATGGTACTTCTTCTGTGCGTGCATACCCCTAATGTCTCTTGTTCTTCTTATAAGGATACCAGTCACATTAGATTAGGGCCCCACCCTATGACCTCATTTGACCATAATTACCTCTTTGAAGGCCCTATCTCCATGTACAGTCATCCTGGGGGTTAAGCCTTCAACATATGCATTGGTGGGGGGACAAGGTTCAGTCTGTAACAAAGAGGAAAGGCCACCCCGAGGCTGGACAATTGAAAGAATGAAGTTGCCATTTAAGATGAGAATCCCCTGAGAGGAACAGACTGTGGCTTTTTATTTGTTTCGAGATTGGGAGTCAGTTTGGGACAAAATGAGTATCAGTTGCCTATTAGACATCCAAGCAGACATGTAGATAAAGCAGATCGAATACAGGTCTGTGGTCCAAGCTGGAGATGGCAAACTAGGCCAAATCAACAAAGATGTCATTTAAAACCGTGAAACTGCATGAGATTACCAAGGAGTTTGGGGCATGCGGAAAAAATAAGAAGTCAAAGGATCGAGCTCCCAATATTTCATGGTAGAACCAGTGACGGAGACTGAGGTAGAGTGTCCAAAGAGGAGAAAATCAGGGAGCCAAAGGGTCTGGGAAGCAAAGTGGACAAAGTGTTTCAAGGAAGAGGGAGGGCTCCATTGTGTTAGCTGATGCTAATGTGTTAAATCAGACAAGTGCTGAGTGTGAGCAGTTGGGTTTCCCATGTGGCCCTTGGGTAACCTTGGTCAGAGAAATTTCGGTAGAATGGAGAAAAATCAAGCAAGCAAGGGAGCAAGGAAAAACTGAATAGAGTTTCAAGGGAGAACAAGAAAAAAGAAATTGACAGCCTGTAGAGTAAACTCTCTCAAGGAGCGTTGAGTAGAGAAATGGGGTGGGAGCTGGAGAAGGAAGTGGCGTTAGGAAAGGGATTTTTTTTTTAAGTGGATTTTTTTCAGGTGGAAGAATAATCGTATGTTTGTGTACTGATGGAAATGATCTAGAAGAGTTTCTTCATCTATAAAACAAGGATAATAGAATCTATCTCCTAGTGCCGCTAAGAGGATTAAATCCCATGATGCCTGTTGTGAAGTGCTCAGTAGGTACCGAGTGCTACTGATAGAAATCACAGCCCATGCCCTCCAGACAAGGAGGAGAAAGACACATACACAGCAGCCTGCAATACGGTGTGACAGGTGCTTCTGGTGACATACATGGGCTGCTAGAGAATAAGAAAGGATGAGCCACAGGAGGTGGAATGGGGTGCTGGGATCCAGTTAATATAAGTGGCAAAATCATGGTAGTACCAGATGGGGGCAAGAGAGAAACCCGAGCTGCCTGAAAGTAAATAGATTGAGGTTTTAATCCCATGTGTTATTTTGCTTTTAGTCTGATTTTCCCTGGTGTCCGCCTGGCCTCTGATAGCCAGTTCAGTGATTTCCTGGATGGCCTTGGCCCTGCCCAGCTCGTGGGGCGCCAGACTCTGGCTACACCTGCAATGGGTAAGAATTTCTGTCATGTGATTTCACTGTTTCCCCTTTAGATTATCGAAAATTACATTCTCTAGTTTCATGGAATTTTTAACAGTATCATCAGCAGGAATAAGTATTTTTGTTTTACCAATAAAAAAATTTTAACTGATTTTTCCAGGTTAATTGATATGCTTTTTAAAGTAAGAGATCATTGATAGAATTTTAAATATATTTGAATTTAGGAAAATATATGGGAAATGATGAAATGATATAAAACCAGGGTCTTTGGCACAAGCCTGTTTCTTACTGTGTTTGTACACTAAGGCCTGTCTCTTTCTTCCTCACACATCGTTAGGTGACATTCAGGTAGGAATGATGGACAAAAAGGGACAGTTGGAGGTAGAAATCATTCGGGCTCGTGGCCTTGTTGTAAAACCAGGTTCCAAGACACTGCCAGGTAAGAACAGAAGAGATTCTTCTCTTTTCTGCAATGCCTACTTTTCAATTCAGAGATTTTGTTTTTGATTAAATGCCAAAAACTGTGTTTTTAGATAGTTAAGGATACTAATGTGTGAGTTTGTTATCTGTAGTAATTTGTGTGGTTATCCTAAGTGAGCATGCAGTGAGGGTGGTCTGGTAGGGATAATTTAAGTTATATAATTTAAGTTAACCTTATTAAGTACGTATGTAGTAGAAACCATTGCAAAATAAACAGGTACGTAAGAATTTCTTTTTCTTATTAGCTGATATTTTGTGTTCTTCTTTACTTTATCTGGAGCTTCAAAATTCACCTTGGGAATTCTTAAAGCTCTGCATTAGAATAAAAATAGATACAGGTTTCCAAAGCAGCATAAGCCTTTGTATACAGGACATTCTAATTAGACTTTTACTTCCTGCAGTGTACAAAGAAAGAGAAGCACCATTAGCAATTTGTATGGCGATGTCACACATTTCATACTGAAATGTCATAATCTAAGGTGCCTGGAGCCATGGAAAATGACACAGGGTCCAGATACCGTGTGCAGAGATGTATAGAACTTGAGATCGGATATGTGGAACAGTTAGTGAGGATTCTGAAATTTGGGTTCTCACCTTGGCACCTCCACTGACTGAAGTGTAATTTTGAATTTCATAACTTCCCTGTCCTTGCAGAAATTCTAAATGATAATGTGTACAACCTTGCAAGGTGATTAAGTCAATTGTGTTTACAAAGGTCTTGGAGCTAGTTACCCCACCGTGCTATAAAGAATACCATAATTTGTACATGCATGAAAATGCTTTTATGGAGAGTCAGATACATTTCAAGCCATGCAATTCATATTTAGTTGCCTCTTCCCAGCTTATGTGAACGTATTACATCAAACCCCACCCTTGTCTTGTACCTATGCCGCCATCAATAAATAAACCCTTTTGAGTAATAAATAAATGATTGTTATTTATAAAAATTTATACTGTATTACTTATATAATCATATTACATATTTATATATTATAGAAATTATATTGTTTATATTCTAATTTATTTATGAAAAGATATTGTTGCAAGCATGTTTACTTAGATTTAAGTACTGACAAATGAAAGACTGAGTAAGACCTCTCTCGAATATTATTAGGGACTGGAAGTATTTCATCTTATTTAATGCAATGGTTAAATCTATATAACCAGTTGATGGCAAAGCAGTAATCAACTCAGAGTAGCCTCTGAGTTAATATTGCCTAGACTGCCTCAGTGGCTGATAGGTACCTATTGTTTATCCAATGATTTTCACATCATGTGGAAAGATGAATGACTGTTGATTGCTAGCTTCTTTGGCCTAAAACCAAGCTGTTGGAGATGTCACCCGTGAGCTGGGTATTCCATAACCATGGCTCGTCACTTAACCTCCCCTCTGCGTGTTCTTCCCCAAGCCCCGTATGTAAAGGTGTACCTGTTGGATAATGGAGTCTGCGTAGCCAAAAAGAAAACAAAGGTGGCAAGAAAAACACTGGAGCCCCTTTACCAACAGCTCCTGTCTTTCGAAGAAAGTCCCCACGGGAAGGTTTTACAGGTATTTACTGAATGGTCTCTCCCTTACATCAGAAAGTGTTTCCGTGGACTCAGACCTTGGACCCACATGTCTTACCACACTCTCTTCCATTGCTCACAGCTGAAATTCCTGGGAAACGTCAAAGCAGTGGCCAAGGCTACCAAGCCGTGGATGCTGTTGTTTCCTTTCCAGCGAACTAGAGACTTGCCAACCCCCATCACACACAGACCCCAGTCTCCCGGGACTGCTTAGGGTCTTAACACTCCAGGACACTTTTCCTCACGTGCCTTTGGATTCTAGTAGTTAAAGACCACTATCCCAGCAATTAAAACACAACTATTTAACTTGATGTTTGATGATAGCACAATAACCGAATGTATTTTAGTTTGCAAGTTTCCATGTACATAACGATACTGACCTCACTCTCCTTTTCATTGTGCCAACAGATCATTGTCTGGGGAGATTATGGCCGCATGGATCACAAATCCTTTATGGGAGTGGCCCAGATACTTTTAGACGAACTGGAGCTGTCCAATATGGTGATTGGATGGTTCAAACTTTTCCCCCCTTCCTCCCTAGTAGATCCAACCTTGGCCCCTCTGACAAGAAGAGCTTCCCAATCCTCTCTGGAAAGTTCAACCGGACCTTCTTACTCTCGTTCATAGCAGCTGTAAAACTGTTGTCATAGCAACCAGCGTTACAAAAAAAAAAAAAATCCACAGGTCGCAAACCCTGGTAACACTGCATGCTTAATGTTGTGTCTTCTGAGCCTGTTTCTAGGGATACAAAGCGATCCTGTGTTCTCAGAGGAAGTTGCACACATTGTGCCCTAATGATGGCCCTCAGGTGAAAGAGCAGAGTTATGAAGAACTATCAGGTTTGGAGTTCAATAGCACTCGAGTTTTGGTCCAATCTGAAGCCATGGATTAATCTCAAAGAATCAGTCAGTTTCATGCAACAAAAGCCCTTTTCAAAGGCACCTTTCTATTTTTATCGTTCCTTTTTCTTCATTTCTCTGACCCCAAAGCCCTGTTATGCCACAGAAATGGAGCTATACAGTCATTAAGCCATGTTACGAGTCAAGGTGTGAAGTCCTAGGAAGCATCAGGTGAAAAGCAGGAGACCAAAGAAGTGGTCCGGGACAGACGTCAGCCCTCCTCTGCACGGTGACCAGGAGCAGCCCGTCCGGTGTGAGCAGGCGCAGACAGAGCTCCAGCAGGCACGCCATTCACTAATGCCACGATGTGTTGGACTCTGAAAAACAAAAGTCTGTGGCTACACTGTACTGAATGAAATTAAAGAAACTTTTTTTTGCATGGACACAGATTAGCTGAATACTTAAATTATTTTCTTGGGGCTGCAACTTGCAAAAAAAAAAAAGAATAAAAATCAGCCATTTTCAACAATTTATATTATTTTTAAAGATAAATTTCACTATTGCATGGTTTTAAAAGGGGGAGAGAATGCAACAGGGTGGTACAAAGACACACCATGTTTATTCTTTAATCGTAGTCTGTGTTTTGGCAGACATTACAAATGAGAATACTTTCTAGAAGATACTTAAAATTCTCTTTATGTGACAAATAAGCATACTATATTCAATTTATTTCCATGTTAAATATACAAATCTTATGAAGTTCAATATGTGCAAATTGTTCACATCTTTCTTCCTCTTCTCTGTCTCACTTTTCCTCTTTCATCTTTTAATCTTTTATTTTCTTTCTCCCTACCAGAGTGAACATTATACTAAAAGATTACAAGTTTTTGACCTGATACTCCTTATACCCCGTGTTGATTCAGAGCTGTAGATGCTTCTGAATTTATGAATTTCTCAAGGGAAAAAAAAAACAAACTAAGCTTTCTCTATTTCAAGCATGTTGAAAAGGATTTTGCAACATGACTTGGGAGTACATTAAAGTAAGCATGTATTTGATAAAGAAGATATTTGAACTTTTGCAATTTATTGTTCAGTGCATGGTACTTTTCTTTTCACCTTCAAAGTTCAGTTTACAGGAAAACCCTAAAATCATGTGGCCATTGTAATGTCTAATAAATTTGTTTTGAGCACCAGCATTATTCATACAGGGGTTAAAGTATTATTTCTAGAAGGTCTTAGGTTTTGTTTTTTAATTAATTAAAGTAATTTCGTTAGCCAATTTCCATTTACTATGTGAATAGAAAAACACTGCTAAAAATTTGGAGCCTGAAACACAGGGCTGTTTATTAATTCATTTTTCTGTAGTAAAATACAATTTTTCACAAATTATATTTCTAAAGAAATATAGTAAACATAAATATGCAACAAATAATTTTAAAGCTCCAATTTTTAGGTGACTCAAAGAAAGTCAATCTATTAATAGTTCTTTGATGCCATCACCCAAAAGTCTACACCCCAAGTCCCCGAAGGTCAAACCCCTGCCTTTGGTTTTACAGACAGTTATACCATTGGGTGGTGCTGCAAGGTCAAGTTTCTCTTTAGTTCCCCTATTGAGAGGAAAAGTCACTGGTTAATGTAATAAAGCCACCCATACTTTGTTTCTTTATGTACACTTTGATAACACATTCTTACAGGTTGATTTTAATTTCTTGAAGCAACTTTTGAAATCCACATACATACCATTTAAGGCCATGCACAAAAATTGCTTTCTTCTTTCTTCTTTTTTTTTTCTTTTTAAATTTCATGCTGACCATTAAAAACTATCATGCTTGATATGGTGCAAAAGTTAAAATGAGTATCACTAAAAATGCCTTCTCTTTATGTGGTGCAATATGAAATACACCGAGACTGTGTCTTGACCTTCTGAGATCAACGATGGGCCCAGGTAGAGTTGTCCAAAGAACGAATAAAACTTTATGGAAATAATTTAGACACTTATGTACCAGCAGCAGCTGATTTAATTGACCTATAGTGTCTATACTGTCCCTTAGAATAAATGTTTACCATTTTCCTGATACTAAGATGCAGTCACATACTCTTTTGTGCATATTCCTATATAAATTATTTCTAATTTTAATAAGAAGGACATGACTGTATGGAATATTTGTACATACTTGTCATTATGCAGTATTTATTTTAAAAGTTGGTGTAATTTTTTTTTTAATTTTCACATGTCTGCACCTCAACTTGTGGTTTAGTCGTGTAAATAGCACTATTCCAGTGACCATTGCTGCCCTGGACCATTGCTGTACATAGTATGTTTTAAAAGTAAAGGGAATTACGGTTGGTAAAAAAAAAAAGGGGGGGGGCAGATTAGTCCTGTAATGAACACCAACTAATGTAAATCAAATTCATTCTGGTGATGGTATTTAACACTTTAAATAAAACATTTTCTTTACAGACGTTGCATGCACGGCTTTCTCTGACTTCTCCCGTCCCCAAGCCTCCTGCAGCTTTCCCTGAGCTCACGCACCGTTTCAAAACAACGAAATCATCTTTTCTTACTTCTCCGTGACAGAAGCAGCCTGCTGGTCTTAGCCAATAGGCCTCAGTAGAACGTGTTTTCAAAGTGCCAAAGGATCTCTGCTCACATCATTAAAAGTTGCTGCTTTTCAAAAAGGTGGTGATTCTGTGCGGGGTGAGGGCAGATTGGTGTTCTGGATTGAGGTGCTTTCTGTTAAGTGACTCAGCAGCTCACAGAGTCTCTGAGTGAACTGAGTGAGATTTCTGAGTCAGTGTCACCTCCATGGATAGCAGAGTCCCAGAGAACCCCACGCAGACTCTGCCATTTCCTGGGTGAAGTGGGTTTTATGTTGCTGTGTCAGGTCACCCAAAGGCGGAGGGTGCCTTTGCAGCTGGGGAGACACCTGTGCTAATGTGATGGGTAACAACCTGTCCAAAGACCGGCTTCCCTCCTGGGGCTCTGGGTGGGAGGGTTTCTCCATCTCCTGCTAGGGCAGTTCCTCAAACTGGAAGAAAAAAACGCCAGCAAAGTTCTGATGGAAGTCCTCCCTGGCTCCAAATTTGAAAAGGAGCTTAATTATTACAAATCCAAACCTAGTCTTCCCTCCATTCTTGGAAACCGCCATTTCTTCCATTTCCAAGGACTCCATTTTGGCTCCGTCCTCCATGCCTATCCCAAATTACTTTTCATTATTCAATACACACCTCCTACTCCAATGAGCTGTTTCTTTGCTGTTCACACACTCCTATTATAACCATGCCCTTGCCTTATATGCCTTCTCCCGAAAAGCCCTTCTACTTCCTCAGAAATGATCCACCCTGGTCCCTCCCTGCAACTCCCTGCTCCGGATGGAGCTCCTCTTGAGCGGTTCCTGACTGAACCTGAACAACAAGACTGCTGTTGATGCCAACACCTTCACTTTCCCAGGAACTCCTGATCGAGGTGCCACACGGAGCAGTAAAGGACATGGGGGTCACTCTCGTAGGGGCTGACAGAGGAATGGTCTAAAAGTCACCAAAGCTGCCTGCCCGTACTGACTCCCAAGAATGTAAGTGACTGACTTCTACATCACAAACCAGTTTGGGTTGTTTTTCTTTTAAATTATATGCTACTGACTGGTTCCTGACTTTGCCACTTACTATTCCCCTTTGACAATGTCATTTATTTTTGTTTTGTTTTTAAAGATTTTTATTTATTTATTTGACAGAGAGATAGAGAGCACAAGTAGGCAAAGTGGTAGGCAGAGGGAGAGGGAGAAGCGGGCTTCCCGCTGAGCAGGGAGCCCGATGTGGGGCTCGATCCCAGGACCCTGGGATCATGACCTGAGCCGAAGACAGACGCTTAATGACTGAGCCACCCAGGTGCCCCGACAATGTCATTTATATTCTCTGAGTCTCAGTAGCCACCACTGCAAGATGGGAAAAGTAAAGCTACCCAGTATATTGGGGTTTCACAGGGATTAAATAAAGCACTGTGTGTAGAACACATAGCACCACGAGTGGTATAAAGTCAGTGCTAACTATTACAAGCATAAATAATTGATTAGAAGGTCTTAAAAACCATTTCATTCTTTGCTGGTCTGTCTCATCGAAGGTACAAGTCCTCCTAAGGAGACACATTGTTTTCTCTGGATCCTCCGGGCCAAGCTGGATTGGAAGGTAGCCCCACTGAGCTCCCTGCAGACCATGTCCGATCTTCCCTGAAGAAGAATGTGCCCCCAGTGGGTTCAGTCATCTATCATCAGGGCTGCATAAAAGAAAGACCCCAGGAAGAAATCTCAGCAAGGCAACTCAGGGCCTCCTCAGAATGGAGCAGCTAGCAGACAGAGTTGGGCAGTCATCCAAATGATAGGACCTTAACAGTACCCTGGGAGAGTTCACAGCACATGGGCTGGCTTTCTGTCCTGGAAAGTCAGTGATGAGAGAGCAAGTCCCAGCTCTTGGAAGATAACATGACATGGGAGAAGGGTGACCTCAGAATCCTCATAGATGGATCCCTGAGTTCCTTATCATGCACCTTCTCTGATTGTTTCCTAGGCAAGAAATAGGTCAGGCTCTTCTCTGCTTCTCACCTCCAGAGTCTGGGCTCCCTTCTTGTCATAGGTCTGGCTGGTGGGCTACTAGGGACAACAGACTTTTTGTGTGCTCAGCCAAAGACAATGAGCACCCCTACAGACTATACAGGGGCCCTGGTGATATACTGGGGTACCCAAGCCCTGCCCCTGATGACTTGGGCCCTATCTGGGAGTGATGAACAGCATGGCAGCAAGACAAACCTAAGCCTTTCTTAGCAAATTTCAAGCTC